GTTTTGTTTTCTAATGAGTAATTAATTCAAGATGTTTTGTAATCATGAGGCAAACTGTTTGGTTATTAGTTGCAAATCTTCATCCAAACAGGTTAATTTTGTGTGTATGTATATAGATTAATCCAGATTAAATGTGCTTGTCTTATTTTGTAGATATTTTCGTAAAGGCTGTTACTTTGGACTAGCATGCTTTGCCAACATGCCCTGTGAATGAACTTCAATGAAGTGAGAGTTGTATAAGTCATACAGCTGACTACTGTACTGTTTTTAAGACTTCCTCTTTTTTCATAGGGAGTTCAGTGGAAAAAAGTCATTTAGAGAGTTTTGTGTTCTTCTGCAAACACTGTTTGATTAAAACCTAGTCCAACAGCTTCACAATTGTTTACATAGGCCCACATTGTCTTTTACAGGGAACATGATAGAATGGTGCCTACCTCAAGATGTGAATCTGGAGGGAGTAGAGTTCAAGTCTATGGCAAGCGGCTCTCATCGGATCTCAAGTGACTTCATGTGGGAATCTCTTTCATAAATGCCACTGCATATATAAGAGACAGAGGACATTTGTAACATTTTGCTTAATAACTGGATCCTCTCTAAAGTTTGATTGTGCCGTGTCCAGGTTGTGTTTCGACGTGGCTGTCCTGCACCAGAAGCGACTGGAGCACATGTGGGACGTTCTGCCCAAAGCCCTGCTCCTTCGGCTCAAACAGAGAACTGTGGCAGATTCCTAGAAGACAATCACAGTCAGATGAGAACAAGAGGATGGATCTCTGTGGAAAAAAACGAGACTTTTATGATGGGTTAGTGTCTCATCTCATACGGACTGGGAAAGGCAATGTCATTTAAGAGTGTAGCAGAAAAAACATTTATTCCACTGGACAGAGCAAAAACCATGCCCGATTTGATTCTAGCAGTTTCACCTACATTCATTAATACCACATCTGCATTAAAAACGTCAAACACTGGTTAATGGTCTTTTTTTGTCGCCAGAGTGTTACAGTTTGTAACAATTTCCTAACTGTAACCAAACAATCAGCACTTTCTGAATGAAATCAGCTGTTATTAGATATCGGTCTGTCAGCCCACTTCACAAATGTACTGAATCTCTTCAAGATTATCTGACAAATTCTCATGATTCAGCACAACTCTAATCCTGATGCAGATTTGTAACGAAGCCTACATTTTGTATCGTTTTTTTCCAACATGGAAAATAAATGGTGGAACATTCACATTTATATAATTATTTTTATTTATTTATTATTAAATGCAATTAATTGATGAGGGAAAAAACCAACAAACTTGAAGCTTAAACTGTTCTCTGGTATACAATATAATGTAAATATTCAGTCTTCCAGAAGGCGACTGAAAGCATTGTGGGATGTGCTCAGTGCCTCTCAGCCGAAATCATCCAGCAGCCACAGCTTCACTTCTTCTTTGCTGCTAACAGGTTTGGTGCAGAAACCTTGACTTTACCAGGCATGTTTCTGGACAGATCAGTGTCCTGTAAAACAGCAGCGTTACATCACACACACCTTCAGTTCAACGCTCAAGATTCATGAACCATCTGCTTCAAATACCTTTATGCTCCTGAAGAGATCCTTCTCTCGAGCGCTGGCGTCTTTCCCGCGCATGAAGCTCAGCACGGCGGTGCGGGCCGCTGCAGACACAGATCACGCTTAGTATATTTACATACGGATTTATAGCATTGAAGTTCTACATTAAGACGATCTTTACCTTTCCCCTTTTTCTGAGTGCCTGGAGTTAATTTCACTTTGTACCTGGAGTCAAGACAGATAGTTGAGAGTGAAGCACTGGTTTTTATTCGATGATTCTGCTCTGAGAGGTGATGTTGTTATTATTAGCTCTTGTGCTGATCTGTTCAGTGCATCTTGAAAACATACTTGTAGTTGGAGAGCGCCATGTAAGGAGCACAAACCGGCACCGCGAACATCAACACATCGTCCGGATGAGGCAGACCGGTCAACGAGTCCAGAATGTTTTCACCATCCTAAAAAAATGTAAACAATGAAATCATTAATAAGTCATTGATGATTGTGTTTGTTTATTTAATTATAAAGCACAATTAAAACAACGTAACGTTGACCAATCTACAATCTCTAAATAAAAATGGCACAATATTAACTTTCAAACAATGACCAACAACAACAAATGTTATAAAAAAAAGCCTCTAGCTAATTAGTCTGCAGAACCAAACGCTAATTCAAGTAAATGCACTTTCAATTTTCGTTTAAAATAGCCTAATGACGTAGCCAGTCTGAGATATAGAGGTAGCTTATTCCAGCACTTCGGAGCTGCTACTGCAAATTTTGTAATCATGAGGCAAACTGTTTGATTAGTTGCATATTTTCATCCAAACATGTTCATTTTGTGTATATGTATATAGATTAATTCAGATTCTTGTCTTTTGTCTTATTTTGTAGATATTTTCGTAAAGGCTGTTACTTTGGACTAGCATGCTTTGCCACGTGGAGAGTGGAGAGTGAGCTGGAACGAGGAGCTCGGATGAAATCTGTAGGGATTTTGTCTCCTTCTTACACACTCCTATACCGTTACATGCACTTCCTGGAAAATCAAGTCCGGTAAGTGCATGCTTGCTTCACGTTGTACCTTGTTATGTCTCTTTCTCTTACTCTTTTGCACGCATCATTTCTATTTTAAGATGTTATGTATTAAACATAAGCTCTGAGTTGCATGCGATGTGACATGGAATTTGTTTAATTTGGACTCACTTCACTACATCTCTTCTTCAATCAGTTAAGGTTGTAATATGCAGCATGCAAAATTGTAATATAAAGTTGATCAACTGCGTTAAAAATGTCTGTTGCTCAATGTCTGCATCTAAATAAAGCAACTTCCTGTTAAGTGCAATGCATTTTATGACAACACCAACAGTCTGCACATGCTTTCTTGAAGGCACCAGTTGCAGTGTCCAGGTCAATACTCTCCACTGGAAGCTTTCTACGAGGATAAAAAGGCAGTGTTGCCTCCGGGAGGGAACGGTTTGGTCACAGACTGCCCGACCAGTGCTCTTGGGCCCATAGTCAACCGCTGCATGCATCCAGAGATGAAGGTTTGAAGATATAAACCCAACATTATCTGTCACTAATCAAAGCTTCAGCTTCCATTAAATTCCAGTTCAATTAAATATATTTTAATGACAGTAGTATTAGATAATTCGATTTTTTTTTTTTTTTTCGTTTTTCTGATGTCTTTTTCTAGTTTCTGAGGAAATCTAGGCCAGGCCACTCAGGGAATTTCATGTTACTGATTAACCAGGGTGCAATACTTCTGCAACTCCTAGCAGCATTATACGCATGGGAGAGTTTAATTTCGTGAAAACAACTATTGTGAGACAAATTTCTCTGTCCACAAACCACAAGATCCTCTATTGTTAAAGAAGAATTCCATACTCTTGTTGAAAAATATGCTGAGGTATACTTTAACTCAGTACTAGATTTGGTTATGCTGTTTGTTAAATAAAGCCTTGTTCAGTCTTGAAGATGCACTTTCTAAATCCATGTTTTTATAGTAATAGTGACATAAAATTGGTGGTAAATATAATAAAAAAATGAATGATATCCGGTATTAAGTACACAAACATTATAAAAAAATATTTTTGAAAATTAAACTGTTCTTTGAACTTTGAATAATTGCATTATGAATTTACTAGCCTGTCAGGGGATTTAAAAAAAATAAGACTAGATTGAATGACCACTTCTAATAATCAGCCAAACGCCTGTGATTATTGGCTGAATGGTCTCTCACTGAACGATCTCTAACTATTATTATAATAATATTTTTTTTTATAAATGAATATATTTCATTAATAATTATTAAATTTTTTTATGATATAAAAGCTGCCATGTTTTCTTATAAACTTTAAGAGCCTGTTTAATACATGTGATGTGTCTATCATTTAATAAGAGATGAGAAGCACAAATCATGTCCCTTTTCTGTTCTCTGTCCACCTCCGATCAGATTACACACCCAGCTGGCTGCATGTCCCAGTTCATCCGCTTCTTTGGAGAGCAGATCATGGTGCTGTGGAAGTTTGCTTTGCTCAGGAAACGCATCCTCATTTTCTCTCCTCCCCCTGTCGGTGTGGTCTGCTATCGGGGTGAGAGTGGAAATCCATTTATTAAGACATGGCTGTCTTAATGTCTATGCATATTTTTCATGACAAATTCAAGATAGCTTGAGAATCCATTGATAAAAATCATGTACATGCTCTTGCACATTGTCATTGATTTGTGCATTTTTATAGTCTGTAACTCTAGTAGTGTTTTCACGTTATAACTCATGGTTATTTTGATACTTTATGTTTTTTGACTTGCATCTCTTAGTATACTGTTGCTGCTGCCTTGCTAATGTATCCATTCCTGGGATGGGCATTTCTGTTCCGGAGTTCCGCCCTTTCTTCTACATCAATGTTGCAGACATCTCCGCTCTTGAGACTGAGCTGTCTTACGTGGCCTGTAAGTGTCTCAATCAAGAAAAGGACTAAAGTAGGAGTCAAAATTCATAATTCCACAGGCACAAAAGGGTTTAACGGTTGGATGTTAAAGGGGTCATATGATGTTGCTAAAAGAACATTATTTTGTGTATTTGGTGTAATGAAATGTATTTATGCGGTTTAAGGTTCAAAAAACACATTATTTTCCACATACTGTACATTATTGTTTCTCCTCTATGCCCCTCCTTTCTGAAACGCGTTGATTTTTACAAAGCTCATCGGCGGCGGCAACAACAATACTACAGCGAGAATAAAAGTTACGCCTTCTTTCTTTGCGTGAACATTTGGGCAGCGTTATGCAAATCTTCCCACATCGTGACGTAGATATGTGGGGGCGTGTTAGAACGAGCCGTTTTAGGTTGGCGTGGCTGACTCTTAACTTCTATAAAGAATATCTCTTTGGATTTGAGACTTTAGTCTTTGCAACTTTACAGATCTTCTTTATGCACCAAGAGTTTGTAACACTCCAAAGAGAAAGGAAAAATTGAAATCGCATCATATGACCGACCCCTTTAAATAACATCTACATCTAGAATGAGGAAATAAGAACCTTTACTTCCAACATAAGTAGTAGTTGGTAATTAGTAAGAATGTTTCTCAGTAAGAATAAATCAGTGGAGTCATTTTTATTTGGGTTCTCAGGTACAACAGAGAAGATCTTTGAGGAAAAGAAGGAGCTGTATGATGTCTACATTGACAATCAGAATGTAAAGACACATAGAGAGAGCCTCCAGCCTCTGCTTAGACTCAACAGTGCGGACCGAGAGAAGTATCGCAAGCTCTGTGAGCAAAGGTATGTCAGCCTTTTAAAATCTCAAAAGCTTATGAGGAAAAACAATCTGAAAACATATTGTTCCACAGGCATATGATGATGTTGATATCTTTGCAGGCAGATGCTGCTGTACTCTCAGGAGGTGGATGGAGACTGCACATCTAATGAGGAAGACCTCTTCATTTTGTACGTGATGGAATTACACGACTTAGCACAATGATGGAAGTTTATCACATCTGCAGATTTGAATGAGACAGAAAGAGTATTTTGGAAGAGCACAATACACTTCTTGTGAAAATAGTTTAACTTTCTTTAACCTTGATTAAGCGATAATATTGGGAAACTGATGGAAATGCAATACTATATTTTCATACTTTGAATTGTGCATAGTATAATAATCATAGATAATAATTGTCATTATTACATTTCAAAAGTTTGGGGTTAGTAAGATTTTTTTAAAAGGTCTCATGCGTACCAAAGATGCATTTATTTGATAAAAATACAATAAAAACAGTAATATTGTCATCCTTCACAAATTATTCTAATATTCTGATTTGCTGCTCAGAAAACATTTATTATCAATGTTAAAAAAAAGTTGTCCTGGTTAATATTTTTTTTCAATGAATAGAAAGTACAAAAGAATATCATTTATTGAAATAGAAGCATTTTGTAACAGTTTATTGTAAATGTCTTTACTGTCAATTTTGATTAATGTAATGCATCCTTCCTGGAAAAAAAAGTAGAAATTTCTTAAAAAAAAATTACAGGCCCAAGATATTTCAGTGGTAGTGTATTTGTTGTCAATTTATATGATTGCATAAAGTAAGTTATTTGACAATTACAAATCCACAATTTTTTATGTTCTAATATAAATATATCTATGGAAGCCCACTGTTTTTCTGTTTTTTTTTTTAATTTTATTTATTTAATTTTTTTGTGTTTTGTTGTGCAAACCAATGGAAAATTACTGTTTATGTTGCTGTGATTAATCTGTATGGAATTTCCCTCTGTTTGTGATCCAGGTTTTTTATGGAGCAAAACAACAGAATCTTCCAGACCCTGTCTGAGGTGGCAGGGAGCTCCGATCCTACCCTGACTGCTGAACACGTGAGAGCCATGGGGCTGGATCCTCAGTGTGACCGCGGTTTTCTCATCGACCTGCTGGAAATCTACGGCATCGACGTCATGCTGGTTATCGACAACCCCTGCTGCCCGTAAGACTCTCAGTCTCTGCCGCTCTCTCTGGAGCCCATTTTCTTTTAGGGCTACAACACACTGCCTACTGATTACCTGCTTTCTTTTCTCTCTTTCTCTGGCTTGGCTATCTCAGGAGCCATTCCTGACCCCTCTGGACTGCACTGATACTGCTAACACCAAAAGGTGCAATCCATCTGCAGGCTTTTTGTGCACTCTGCAGCCAGTCAATCCAGTGACGTCTTTCTGCTTGTCTGTCTATCTTATGTGCTTAGTATCCTTCTAGCCATCTTGGATTTCTACTCGACTTGTTTCCAAAACATGATCTCTGTGCCTCTCTCTACTGCTTTTTATTGTGTGGTCTTCAGTTGTGACTTTGTTCTTCTAGCCAGTGCTGTCTGGGGGAACTGATGTGAATATAAATCTGCTTCACTTGGACACCAGAGAATTGGAAAAACGGTCCATCAACGGGGCAACTCTCACTTCCCGGATCCACGTATTTATGCTGGTAACAGCGGTTTGGTAAAGTCTGCTTTGAATGTCATATCTGTATTTCTAAAACTTTTATGGATGTTGCACACAGTACACACAGTACTGTGATGGTGAAGATTTTCACAATCTTTGCCACACTTAATCATGTACATGTAAACAGTCATTTCATTTTGGGAAAAAACAGACATCAGTCACTGTGTTTGTTGTGTTACTTGTGGATTTTTATTGTGCATGGACACATAGACACAATCAGTTCACTACTGTAGTTTGGCACAGCACTTATTGATGTATATGAATGGGAGTGAACAACAGTGTAGAAGGTTCTCAGTCATTATTTCACTACCCAAATGATATCTGATGAATGTGACTGTCATTTCAATGCTGTCTACGCCATTCTCTGTTCAAGCATTTGCTGTTATTACACTTACTAAACGGACTGAAAACTCATGAATTGAAGCATAAAATGTGTATTTGTTCATTCTGTACAGGCCTTTAATCACTGTCACTCTTGGTATTGAATGTAAATTGTACATTTAATGCACAGTCTGATGCACATATGATTTAAACAGACACAGAAATGTTACATTCAGCTTTTTGAGTCCCTTAATTTGCTCTAAAGAAATGAATGTGATTCTATTCCCGTCTGTCATCAGTGAATGCTCCTGATTATTACCTGTTAAAGACTTTGAATATGTATATACTTGGGGTTTCTTATTTAAATGTATTTGGGTCGATCATTTCTGGAGAACAGCAGCAAACTGGCCTCACAAGGCTGATTGATTGTGGTTTTGTGTGCGTTTATATGTTCATCCTGTGAAAACCCTAACTGGACACTTAATTATTCAAATTATTCATAAAGCTGGTGAAGTTTAAAAGAAAAGTATTTACTTGACCTTTTGAGTTTACAGTTTCCTTTCATCTAATTTTCAGCCTTCTAATAAAATAATAATTGATTATTTGAGAATGAGTGCAGGCACTCGGGTTTGTCACAGTTTGATGGATGAAGTTCTTTAAATTACGTGAAATAAAATAGTTAAATTAACAATAAATAATACTGTTGCTTATAACCTAGATTTGATTAAATGTGAATATTGTTTTTACATTTCTTATCTATCAGAGAACTTTCTGTATTATAAATCTTTGAAACCATCCTGTTGTAGGATGTTGGTTAGTTATTTAGTGTCCTATTGTAAATGAATGGAAATGTATATTATTGTACAGGTTGTCTGGTATTGTGTATGTGTGATATTTTTTGTGAGTTATCTAAGTGTTGCACAAGTCTTTGTCACAATAACAAGCGCAAAGAATGTTGGGTTTTACTCTACTAGTATCACAAAGCACTAGTGTAATGCCTCTGTCTTACACACTACCTATACAGTAATACAAACTAACAGCATGTGTCTGTTGTTTTAAAGCCAGTGATTCTTATTCACTGCCATTTTGAAATAAACGGTTCCTTCTTTTCTATCACATGCTTTGTTTGTGCAGTATTTGGGGGTTGATTTGAGAAAAACAAAACACTGGTTTACCTGAAGGAAGCTACAAGATTATCACAAATGCATGGGGAAGTCTTAAAATAAGAAAAATAAGAGATTGATAATGACTTTTATTCTTGGTCCTCATCTGGTCAGACACATTCAGTATCATGCGAGTTTCTTGAGCCATCTTTGCATTATCATCTTCATGATATTAGTTTAAAAAAAAAAACATTCAAAGTAAACCTTAACTTTATGCCTGTATTAAGTTAATAACATCATTCATGCTGTTAAAAAGCATCAAAATGACAATTTAACTGCTGTTTCTTAAAGTCCATAGACCACAGATTGTTCAGTTGGAGTATGGTGACCTTTATGAGACCTTTTTTTGTTGTAACTGGTATGTTTTCCAGTTTCATCAGCAGTTCCTCAGGCTCCTCTACACATATTAACACAACTGTCATCACTGAGCCTGTGCAAGCTGCTCTCTGCGCTCTGCACTGCAAAAGAACCTCAGTTTCCGTGGCAACAGTCTCACTTCCACAGACATTGCCCCTCATTGTCTATGCCTGTATTAAGTTAATAACATCATTCATGCTGTTAAAAAGCATCAAAATGACAATTTAACTGCTGTTTCTTAAAGTCCATAGACCACAGATTGTTCAGTTGGAGTATGGTGACCTTTATGAGACCTTTTTTTGTTGTAACTGGTATGTTTTCCAGTTTCATCAGCAGTTCCTCAGGCTCCTCTACACATATTAACACAACTGTCATCACTGAGCCTGTGCAAGCTGCTCTCTGCGCTCTGCACTGCAAAAGAACCTCAGTTTCCGTGGCAACAGTCTCACTTCCACAGACATTGCCTCATATTCCTCATTGTCAATGTCATAAAAGCCGGCACCCTCCTGTGGACAGGAGAAGAAAAGTAAAAGATCATAATGGCTGCATCACAGCTTAGATCAATGGATGATTACAAAGAAATCAGTCCCCCAAACTTTTTCAAATAATACTGACCTCTGGGAGATTGAGACTAGCAGCACTGGCCTCTATCTGCGAAGCATCTTCTATGGACTCCATCGGCTTCAATACTTTCTTAGTTCTGAATGACAAAGTATTATTCATTCATACCCAAAAACCTAGAAAGGTTCTAATGGCAAATTAAATTAAGTTCACTGAAGTACAGCAGGCAAAAAAGTGCAACTGATTCAACATGAGGTAAACTTTCCATTTCTCCTTTCACAAGCAGTTTTGTGAATGACACTCACCCCTCAGTGATGAACTGACCAACTGTGAGGGAGTCTGAGTCCAGAGTTATCACCATAGAATCGTCCTCACGCTGAAGACAGTAAACAACACCAATCAGGACAAATTCTATTGAATTTATAATACATACATTCCCATGAAGAGCAACTATTATGTCAGTACTCACTCTCTTGACAGGGTTCTTATTGTGTGTGCTAACTGTGAGCTCCAATGTGGAAATGTCTTTGCTCTCCCATCGCTCTGGCTCAGGCTCTTTCAGTGGCTCTACCAACAGAAAATATATTATTATATATTATTATTAAACATGAATTAAAATGTTAGACATCCTTTAGTCTCAGCCTCAGACGTCACACCCATGGACTGATTCATAAAACACACAAAATGGAAAAAGTCACAGTGTTTACAATTGTAACAACGAGCACTTATCAGGATCAGCTAAATGCTGGATTTTCAAAAGTATGTGAAGTTCACAGCATAGACTCTTGATGACTGAAGACATTGTTCTTGAATGAATGATTTATGTTTTATAAATGATTATGTTTTGAACCTGCTTCGAGACAATATTAGAATGCTAATATCCATAAGCTATATTCTATATGATGAAATGTTTATAAAAGTGATAAACCACCTTCTATAGGAGGGTTCCAGTAGTTCTTGAGTCTGCAGTAGATGCGGTAGAGGAGGTTCGGCCGGGGTGGTATTTCAGTGGGAAGGTCAGGTGGACGAGGTACAGGAGCCAGATAGGAGAGGGAGGCCTGGTGAGACTGTGGCCACTGCTGTAAGAGAGAAGATATTGTGATCAATCCAATACTAACTCACATGAAGGCCTTAATATATGATGCAACTGAGCTATCAATGTCATTGAAGTACTCCTTTAAAAACAATGCAAAGAGCAGCACTCACCTTAAGGCTACTAAACCAATGTGCTGCTCTTGTTTTCAAGGGGCCAAGGTACCAATATCTTCAAGGAAAATTCACATTAGAAATACACATTTGCATTTTGTATTTATGCTGTAAATAAAACATTTATGAGCATACTTGCTGATAGAAGAAGCGACGTCTCTGAATGCACCCCAACGTAAGCCAAACAGAGCAAACACTGGCTGCTCCTTCTCACTCTAAAAACAGAAATTACACAATCAACTCGGTGTGAAAAAAAGCTGACAAACCTTAATGAGTTATTTTTCAAAATGCCTATCAAATTTACTTTTATCTGCAGAACATCCAGTGGAACAGTTTCTCCTTTCAGTATTGACAGGGTTGCAGAGGTAATGTGCCTGAAAAACCAGAAATAGATGACATCGGATCATAACACACTTTGGCAAAAAAATGTTTGAAAAGTGAACTCATGAAACTTACTGTACTTTGTTGTCAGAAACCAGATGTAGACTCTGACTCAAAGAGTTACTGGAACCCAGAGGAATGAAACCGATTGGTATTTTACTGAAGGTCTCCTGTGGTTACAGTAGTTCAAATTCAGAAAACTCTGGAATGTGCAATAACTTAATATAGCTTAATAACTTAAACAATACTTTTTTTTATTACTAGTAAATACCTCATCAACTCTGCGCAGTAAGCCAGTTATCACCTGTATGAAAAAATCAACACATGCAAACATTTAAATATGGTCAAATTGTCAGAAATATATATATTTTTTAAATAATCCCACTTTATGAAGATACTTTTGTACCTCCTGTAATGTCCCATCACCTCCAGCAATGATCAGCATATCTGTTTGATCCATCAATTCCATGAGCTTTTTTGCCTGGCCTTCATAATCAGTCTGTTACAGGCAATTGAGCAACAAATCACAAATTATTAATACACTAAAATACATATAAAAAGAACCTGTAGCAAAGGACCTAAGCACTTAAATCAATAAAGGATGTTACCTTCACAATTTTGACCTCCACACCAGCTAAGTGTAAAATGGGAGCTGCATTCTTCTCAAACAAACTATTAGCTTTTCTGCAGAGAAAATATAATTATGTTAACACAAACTAACTGACATAGCTAAAAAAAATGATTTATGGCACAGTGAGGGCCATGTGTATAATCATACCCATTACAGGCAGCAGGATTTAGAATGACTATGGCTTTCTTCAGATGCTCCTGAGGTCCAATTAATTGATGACCAAATGCCTGGAAATCACATACAATATATTTAACTGTAATGAACCTTCGAGTACTGGGTATCAGGGTCATTACAGTTAACTAAAACTATAACTAAAAAAAAAAAGAAGTTTGTTATTTATTTAACTTACTTCATTTAAACTAGTTACCAAAGCAACAGTTCTCATTTTCATTTAGTTTAACTTGATGTACTAAAATAACTAAACTGAAATAAAAATGGAAAAAAACTAAAACTAACAAATATTAAAATGACATTTATGAGCACGTTATTTTCAAACTACATATTCCTTACCCTGGCCTCTATACATGCTTCTCGTCGCAGCACATTGTCACTGTGAAAAAAGTACAGCAAATGAGTTGGTAGACAAATATACATACATACATTCAGACAGACAGACAGATAGACAGACAGATGGACAGGCAGATATAGACAGACAGACAGACAGACAGATAGACAGACAGATAGATAGATAGATAGATAGATAGATAGATAGATAGATAGATAGATAGATAGATAGATAGATAGATAGATAGATAGATAGATAGATAGATAGATAGATAGATAGATAGATAGATAGATAGATAGATAGATAGATAGATAGATAGATAGATAGATAGATAGATAGATAGATAGATAGATAGATAGATAGATAGATAGATAGATAGATAGATAGATAGATAGATAGATAGATAGATAGATAGATAGATAGATAGATAGATAGATAGATAGATAGATAGATAGATAGATAGATAGATAGATAGATAGATAGATAGATAGATAGATAGATAGATAGATAGATAGATAGATAGATAGATAGATAGATAGATAGATAGATAGATAGATAGATAGATAGATAGATAGATAGATAGATAGATAGATAGATAGATAGATAGATAGATAGATAGATAGATAGATAGATAGATAGATAGATAGATAGATAGATAGATAGATAGATAGATAGATAGATAGATAGATAGATAGATAGATAGATAGATAGATAGATAGATAGATAGATAGATAGATAGATAGATAGATAGATAGATAGATAGATAGATAGATAGATAGATAGATAGATAGATAGATAGATAGATAGATAGATAGATAGATAGATAGATAGATAGATAGATAGATAGATAGATAGATAGATAGATAGATAGATAGATAGATAGATAGATAGATAGATAGATAGATAGATAGATAGATAGATAGATAGATAGATAGATAGATAGATAGATAGATAGATAGATAGATAGATAGATAGATAGATAGATAGATAGATAGATAGATAGATAGATAGATAGATAGATAGATAGATAGATAGATAGATAGATAGATAGATAGATAGATAGATAGATAGATAGATAGATAGATAGATAGATAGATAGATAGATAGATAGATAGATAGATAGATAGATAGATAGATAGATAGATAGATAGATAGATAGATAGATAGATAGATAGATAGATAGATAGATAGATAGATAGATAGATAGATAGATAGATAGATAGATAGATAGATAGATAGATAGATAGATAGATAGATAGATAGATAGATAGATAGATAGATAGATAGATAGATAGATAGATAGATAGATAGATAGATAGATAGATAGATAGATAGATAGATAGATAGATAGATAGATAGATAGATAGATAGATAGATAGATAGATAGATAGATAGATAGATAGATAGATAGATAGATAGATAGATAGATAGATAGATAGATAGATAGATAGATAGATAGATAGATAGATAGATAGATAGATAGATAGATAGATAGATAGATAGATAGATAGATAGATAGATAGATAGATAGATAGATAGATAGATAGATAGATAGATAGATAGATAGATAGATAGATAGATAGATAGATAGATAGATAGATAGATAGATAGATAGATAGATAGATAGATAGATAGATAGATAGATAGATAGATAGATAGATAGATAGATAGATAGATAGATAGATAGATAGATAGATAGATAGATAGATAGATAGATAGATAGATAGATAGATAGATAGATAGATAGATAGATAGATAGATAGATAGATAGATAGATAGATAGATAGATAGATAGATAGATAGATAGATAGATAGATAGATAGATAGATAGATAGATAGATAGATAGATAGATAGATAGATAGATAGATAGATAGATAGATAGATAGATAGATAGATAGATAGATAGATAGATAGATAGATAGATAGATAGATAGATAGATAGATAGATAGATAGATAGATAGATAGATAGATAGATAGATAGATAGATAGATAGATAGATAGATAGATAGATAGATAGATAGATAGATAGATAGATAGATAGATAGATAGATAGATAGATAGATAGATAGATAGATAGATAGATAGATAGATAGATAGATAGATAGATAGATAGATAGATAGATAGATAGATAGATAGATAGATAGATAGATAGATAGATAGATAGATAGATAGATAGATAGATAGATAGATAGATAGATAGATAGATAGATAGATAGATAGATAGATAGATAGATAGATAGATAGATAGATAGATAGATAGATAGATAGATAGATAGATAGATAGATAGATAGATAGATAGATAGATAGATAGATAGATAGATAGATAGATAGATAGATAGATAGATAGATAGATAGATAGATAGATAGATAGATAGATAGATAGATAGATAGATAGATAGATAGATAGATAGATAGATAGATAGATAGATAGATAGATAGATAGATAGATAGATAGATAGATAGATAGATAGATAGATAGATAGATAGATAGATAGATAGATAGATAGATAGATAGATAGATAGATAGATAGATAGATAGATAGATAGATAGATAGATAGATAGATAGATAGATAGATAGATAGATAGATAGATAGATAGATAGATAGATAGATAGATAGATAGATAGATAGATAGATAGATAGATAGATAGATAGATAGATAGATAGATAGATAGATAGATAGATAGATAGATAGATAGATAGATAGATAGATAGATAGATAGATAGATAGATAGATAGATAGATAGATAGATAGATAGATAGATAGATAGATAGATAGATAGATAGATAGATAGATAGATAGATAGATAGATAGATAGATAGATAGATAGATAGATAGATAGATAGATAGATAGATAGATAGATAGATAGATAGATAGATAGATAGATAGATAGATAGATAGATAGATAGATAGATAGATAGATAGATAGATAGATAGATAGATAGATAGATAGATAGATAGATAGATAGATAGATAGATAGATAGATAGATAGATAGATAGATAGATAGATAGATAGATAGATAGATAGATAGATAGATAGATAGATAGATAGATAGATAGATAGATAGATAGATAGATAGATAGATAGATAGATAGATAGATAGATAGATAGATAGATAGATAGATAGATAGATAGATAGATAGATAGATAGATAGATAGATAGATAGATAGATAGATAGATAGATAGATAGATAGATAGATAGATAGATAGATAGATAGATAGATAGATAGATAGATAGATAGATAGATAGATAGATAGATAGATAGATAGATAGATAGATAGATAGATAGATAGATAGATAGATAGATAGATAGATAGATAGATAGATAGATAGATAGATAGATAGATAGATAGATAGATAGATAGATAGATAGATAGATAGATAGATAGATAGATAGATAGATAGATAGATAGATAGATAGATAGATAGATAGATAGATAGATAGATAGATAGATAGATAGATAGATAGATAGATAGATAGATAGATAGATAGATAGATAGATAGATAGATAGATAGATAGATAGATAGATAGATAGATAGATAGATAGATAGATAGATAGATAGATAGATAGATAGATAGATAGATAGATAGATAGATAGATAGATAGATAGATAGATAGATAGATAGATAGATAGATAGATAGATAGATAGATAGATAGATAGATAGATAGATAGATAGATAGATAGATAGATAGATAGATAGATAGATAGATAGATAGATAGATAGATAGATAGATAGATAGATAGATAGATAGATAGATAGATAGATAGATAGATAGATAGATAGATAGATAGATAGATAGATAGATAGATAGATAGATAGATAGATAGATAGATAGATAGATAGATAGATAGATAGATAGATAGATAGATAGATAGATAGATAGATAGATAGATAGATAGATAGATAGATAGATAGATAGATAGATAGATAGATAGATAGATAGATAGATAGATAGATAGATAGATAGATAGATAGATAGATAGATAGATAGATAGATAGATAGATAGATAGATAGATAGATAGATAGATAGATAGATAGATAGATAGATAGATAGATAGATAGATAGATAGATAGATAGATAGATAGATAGATAGATAGATAGATAGATAGATAGATAGATAGATAGATAGATAGATAGATAGATAGATAGATAGATAGATAGATAGATAGATAGATAGATAGATAGATAGATAGATAGATAGATAGATAGATAGATAGATAGATAGATAGATAGATAGATAGATAGATAGATAGATAGATAGATAGATAGATAGATAGATAGATAGATAGATAGATAGATAGATAGATAGATAGATAGATAGATAGATAGATAGATAGATAGATAGATAGATAGATAGATAGATAGATAGATAGATAGATAGATAGATAGATAGATAGATAGATAGATAGATAGATAGATAGATAGATAGATAGATAGATAGATAGATAGATAGATAGATAGATAGATAGATAGATAGATAGATAGATAGATAGATAGATAGATAGATAGATAGATAGATAGATAGATAGATAGATAGATAGATAGATAGATAGATAGATAGATAGATAGATAGATAGATAGATAGATAGATAGATAGATAGATAGATAGATAGATAGATAGATAGATAGATAGATAGATAGATAGATAGATAGATAGATAGATAGATAGATAGATAGATAGATAGATAGATAGATAGATAGATAGATAGATAGATAGATAGATAGATAGATAGATAGATAGATAGATAGATAGATAGATAGATAGATAGATAGATAGATAGATAGATAGATAGATAGATAGATAGATAGATAGATAGATAGATAGATAGATAGATAGATAGATAGATAGATAGATAGATAGATAGATAGATAGATAGATAGATAGATAGATAGATAGATAGATAGATAGATAGATAGATAGATAGATAGATAGATAGATAGATAGATAGATAGATAGATAGATAGATAGATAGATAGATAGATAGATAGATAGATAGATAGATAGATAGATAGATAGACAGACAGATAGACAGATAGACAGAGAGATAAATATAGTTAGACAGACAGACAGACAGACAGATAGACAGACAGATAGATATAGATAGACAGACAGACAGATAGACAGATAGACAGAGAGATAAATATAGTTAGACAGACAGACAGACAGACAGATAGATATAGACAGACAGACAGACAGATAGACAGACAGACAGATAGATATAGATAGATAGATAGATAGATAGATGTGTGTAGATAGTTACAGTAGACAGGACGGATGGACGGATGGATGGATGGATA